TGAAGGACCATGTATCTGCCTCTGGTGGGTCACCGATTTGGGTCCTTCATTGATGGGTTTTGGAGGACCACTTTCCCTCCCTCAAGCAGGTCCCCCCAAGGAGCTGGGCTCAATGACCGGCACTGCCCACTCATCTCACATCCGTTCTAACCTCATCCTTCTGTTCGCCAAAGGCGACCCTGGACCCGAACCAATTGCTACATGTTGCTTCGGTCCAGAAATCACTCCCCAAAAGTGGTGAGGGTCATTGGACACAAAACAGCATGTTGCTTTATAAAGTTTTATCTTTTTTTCTGCTGCCTTTTGTAGTACATCCACTTCTCACCTCATTGTCATAGCGCAAGTCCAACGGACCCTTGCGGATGCCACGTTCGATGTCGTTCTTGGAATCGGTGGTGATGCCCCCATTGATGAGAACCTGAACAGTGGCTGACTCTTCATCCATCTGAGTGTGTGGTGCGTTGACGTGTTTCTCCCCGAACCGAGCAAGCCGACGGGGTCGGACCCACTCCCGACCCACCACACCTCCCGATCGGAACCACGCGACGCCCACCCCGCGCGGGAGAATCCAACGGCGGCGACCGGTCCGAACTCGATGGTTTCTGCTCGCGACCCGTCGGCTGACCCCGCCCCGCCGGCGCGGAGCCGCTCGGTTCGGAAGCGTCGGGCCGCTCAACGGCGGGGGGGGGCCAGCGGAAACGGCTTGGCCGGCTGGGCGAACGTCGCAAGCTAAACAAGTCCCACAAGCTAAACCGGCACAAGCTAAACGAAGTGCTTTACCCAGGGGTCACATCAAAGGGGTGGTTCTTTGTCCCCATCCAGTGAGTGGAGTAGCTGGGCACCCCGACTTCCTCCGATCGGCACCCCGAACGTGACTGCTGGACGCTGCCCTGTGAGGGTAAAACCGTCCATGGGCCGGTGGGCTGCCCTCTTCCGCGACGCGGTGAACTGCAGAGTCCAAAGCATCGCCCAACAAATATAGGCCAAAACATAGGGCAAAACCAGGAAACCATCTCTAGATCTTCCAACTGTGCAACATTTATGCATGGTAATGATTTTATTGATGAAAAGGGATAAATTCTGCACAGTTGGAAGATCCAGGTATGCAGCTTCAACTCCAAGTTCAACAAACAGCAAAGGCTTACACCTTTGACCAGCTACTTTTGTGTATCCCACGGAAGTACTGGATGGTACCGGAACGCTTGAGGGCACCATGGAACCACTTTCCATTCATCTTTTCTGTGAGGACATACGCTATGATCGTCTTTCTCAAGAACCATGCCATCCAACTTCTATGTTCATAATATATATATATATATACGACTTGCAATTCCCTGGCAGTTTCCGCCCCCCAAACCTCCAAGAAAGATCGAAGCAAATCGTTCTTCCAACCACCTCCAGGGCACCCCGTGCACGGGCTCCTGGCTCTCCAGGATCTCTGACAGCTCCGCGTAGGACCTGCGGTAGACCTTCAAGCGCGGCTCCTTCGCCGCTAAGGCGTGTGCCACCTCCACCTCGATCAAGCCGGTTTTCCGCAATTGGGATGGGTTGGGATCGGTTGGGATGGAGAACTGGTGAGGGCCTGGGGGGGGAAGTTGGGAGGTTCTTCTTTTTTTTTGGGAAGTGGGGAGCCCTGCCACGAAATCCGAGTTTTTCAAGCGAGCGAGCGAACCATCTTAAAACGGAAATCAGGGGTCAAGGTCACACGAGCTGTGGGGTAAAGGAAAACCGTCTGTCAGCAGGTCCACGAAGTAGTGAAAGAGAACTGCCCCCCCAAACACTCTCAAGTCCAACCTCTCCTTTTGCCGGTTCGCTGCCGCCACATGTGGTGTCTTCCCATCATCCCATCATCCCACTTTCCCCCCACGGTCCACGTCTGAAAAGCTTGAGAGACTGCTTTCGGATCCACATCCAGCGCATGCAGCGTCGTCTGAGACGAGGCATGCTTCAGCAGCGCCCGCGCGTGACCGCCACGGCCAAAGGTACAGTCCACGAAGGTGCCTTGGATTTGATCCCAGGAGCTGGGGAAAAAAACCTCTTCACCAGAAAAACACACGGATCTTCATGGGATCTGAACCAGTTCGGGGAAGTTAAAAGCATGTTAAAACACAATCTGATTTTCAACATACAAGGATATTTTCCAGAAAGGGGGATATATCAACCAGTTCGGGACACTTGTTCACCAGAGCATTGCTGATCCTTTTAGCTACACCCAAACAGAAGGCTCAAGGTGCCGTTGAGGAGGTTCAAGGTCCGTGAACTGGACACGGCGCGGAAGTGATGGAGAATGGGAAGCATGAAGAGCGGCTGATGTCCCGCCAGGGCGCCCTCGGAGAGCGCCCTCCTCAACGCCGCGCCGGAAGAGCTGCTCTTCGGTCCATAAGGGGCTCTTCGGGTCCCCAGGTCGGTTTCAAGGCGAAGTCCAGACGCTCCGTTCACAGCTCTTGGTCCCTCAAAACCCTAGGGATTGGTTCGACCCGTTCGACCCCTCCAAGTCCAGGCCTCGCCCCTGTTTTGACTGAAGTGAGGGCATGTCCTGAACTTCGGGGCCACCTAGATCGTCCAGTCAGACCAGTCAGACCATTCGACCCAACAAGGCTTTCGGAGAACCCGAGCAAGGACGGCCATGCAGAAGGCAGAAGTCGAACCAAGTACACTCCTTGGAACGACCACATGGTTGAGAATGACCCCCGAGTTCGGAAGACCATGCAATCCACGAACCAAACAGGTGGTGAACTCCACGTAAGCATGTTAATTCCGGGAAGAGTACACCTTGGCATGCCTGAAGAGTGCCGCGAAAACTGTTGAGCACCCCTAGCACCCCTAGCACCTCGCGACCTAGCATACGGGTTACGGGATCTCGTTTGTTTTTTTCCAGAACCCCTAAGTCCTTCGTCACATCACTCCCAAAGAAGAGTACACCTCCCAGGAGCATCCTGTCTGGATGTCCTGTCTGGAGATCCACAGTATCGCATGGTAGGGTAGTCATGGGTAGTCCATATATTGCACACTCCAGACAGCACACAGCTGGAACTCCTCCGTCCTCCCTCCGCGTCGTCCTGCAGCCGCCCGGGTCCGGTGCCACCTGTGGGTCGTCTCCGCTTCCTTCACTAAAGCGTTGATCTCCTCTTGCATCTCCTCTTCCTCCTGCTGTTCCTGCGACGCGAGGCGCGAGGCACTAGAGTGGACGTTCGAGTCGGGCCACCGTGGCGGGGTATGCTTCTCATACACATCCCGACTTCCTCTTCCTCTTCCTCTCGTCTCTCGTCTCCTCTCGGTCCCTCACAGTTCCTCCAGTTCTCACCCCCTCTCTGCTCCATGTCCCTCCGCTCTCCCCATCCTGCCGCAAAAAGGACATCTGCCGCAACACCGACCCCGCACCAGCGCCAGACCCCGGCCGGGCACCGCTCGGCCGGGCGAAGGCAGTGCCTGGCAGTCACCGACACGGTCGTGCTGGGACTGTCGGAGTCAGTGCTGGAGCGCTCCGCTTTACGAGCCAGGGTCAGTGCCTACCTGAAAAGAGCTGTGAATGTCAGCTGAGAATTACTGGTTGCCACGACAATTGTTATTGCAAGAGTTGTCTGTTTTTTCATGTCTGTATTATACGTCTATCATGTCTCCTGTGCAAATGTCCTCTGCATGTTGGATTTAAAACACCCATGCCGGTTCCATCGTTCAATCAGGGAAAATGTTGCCTTTTTTCAAGTGTCAAGAACCACTGAGCCCATATTCAGACAATCGCTTCTGTGGAATTCCTTCGGGTTTGGAAAAATCAAACTCCCCTTTGCCAACCTGTTTCACGTGCCAATGGCCGGGGCACCGCAGTGCAGTATGGGCAGGGCACAAGTCCGACTGCGACTGGCTCTTTCGTCCGCCTGGCCAAGGGCCGAACCCTGTGAGGAGACTCAGCAACAGCAGCCGCAGCCCGAGCTGCGCTGCGAGCCGCGCGGCTTCAGTCATGATGGCGACCACGTGGCGCGGTGCGAGCCGCCATGGCATCGAAGTGCTCCAGGCGTGTTTAGGAGTCGCTGGGGGGTGCCCCCTGTTACATTCACAGCCCCTGGATGGGACGAGAGCCCCACCCAGTCAGGCCATGACTCCGAGGTCGTCCTGTTCTTCGATGACTTCGATCCGCGATTTTCCAGCGATCGTCGTGGATCTCCATTGGCTCGTTGTTTCGGGTCGTTGGCTTCGGGTCGGTCGGTGGGGCGGAGCTGGGCCGTTGAGTCGTTCGGACCCTTCGAGGGTGCTCGACATGAGCGCAACATGTGGGGGTTTGGGGGGCAAGACAATCGCCTAAACATGCTGAGCTCCAAGGGTTCCTTTCATTCTAGAACTCCTTTGAACGAATATGACGCCACGACTTGGCTGGACTTGGGTGAAGGTATGGTGAATCTCACTGGGACGGATCTGTTCACATGGATTCCTCTGCCTTTGGGCCTCGCTTAAGCCTCAGGGAGACCGTGTTTCTTCACTCTCAAGTGCTTGCCATGCAACGGATGAGTGGATCGTTGCGTAGGTCTCGATGAAGTATACTTAAGAAGTCCACAAATAAGGGCTGAACGTTGGCGAAAAGAATTCTGATGTGCATTGGTCAGTTTGTTCCACGGGAAAATCCATCGCCTTAAGCAAGAACCAGTATATCTCCACTCTTCAATCAAGGCTTTCCATGATCCCAGTGCTTTTCCACCTGACCGCAGATCTTCCCAGCCCTGGGGTCTCTACCGGGTTTATCCAAATTTTCATCAGAAGGAGGATCTTTCCACAGTCCCAACCACTTTTATTGGATGTCAAACGCCATATGGATCATTATGGATCCATATGTCAGTAAGTCCAAACCGCGGAGGACTCCGGTTTGTCCCACCGAAAATACACATGAAGGTTTGGAGCTAGGTGCCATGACCCAGGTGGCCCATTCTTTAGGGAACCCAGAAACGGTTTCTGCCACTGAGAAGCTCCTGAAACCCCGGTGCCCACCCTTCTCGGCAGGGGAATCCCACATGCGGCAGAGTGATGGAAGATTCCGCGATGTCGGTGGCGAGAACCACCTGAGCACTGCAGGGACCGCACCGGTGGCGGACAGATCTCATGAAGCCGAAGTCGTGGCCCACCATTTAATAGCCCGGGGCATCCCGTGGCTTGGCCATGGTTTCACAAAGGATTTTACACAGGTCAGATCGTTCCCATTTCACACAGACTTTGCCCACCTTCCAGGGTGATCCGCATCCAGATCCGGTGCACCCAGCTGCATTTGGGGAGTCGGACAGAACCAGCTCAACCCATGTTGAACATTCGTCTTGGAAGGCTCTCCTCGCCCTGACTTTGCCGGTCATACCCGGGTTCTGAGAAAAATGAAGACCAACCCGGGCGTGGTGGACTCAACTCGACTCAGGTTCCAACAAAAATGGGTCTCTGGCGTTTGAATGGCTCTCACAGGCTGGCATTTTGCACGGTTACCGCACCTGTTGAGACCTCCCACCTGGAGGATGCAGGCTACACAGCCCGGCGTTTTTCATATCATCGAAGCACCTGCGACTTTCGCGGTTCTCATCACGTACCAAAAACCTTCATCTCGATGGTTTTCACCGTTGTTTTCACCCCCAGACCTGCGAAGAGCGATTCGGGCGTCTTTGGTCTTTCGCGTGAGGCGAACAGATCGAAAACTGGGGCCGCCAGGCATTGGTGATGCCGGGCTCGGGCTCCTGGAAGACCAGCTCCTCGCATGGCGACGTCGGCATTCCCAGCCCGAGCCCAATGGCGCCCGAACCCACACGAGGCGGATCCTGGGGAGGAAAGCTCCGAAAGTGGGGCAAAAAGCTGAGATGAAGTGCACTATGGACCATATGTGAAACTATAAGCACAAGTGATGAGTGAAATGACTGAATCTTCACCAGGAGTCACAAAGGGGTGCCGAAATTGAAGGTTAGGGGTTAGGGGTGCCCATTATCCACTCACTTGGGGACTAAACACCACTTTGTGACCCCTGGTGAGTGAATCTTCATGATTTTCATCTTCCTTGGGGCATTCAGGCGATTGCCGACTTGGTCTATTTGACACCCAAAGATTGCAAACTTTTAAAGATCTCATTTCCGGTCCACTTCGGCCGGACAATTGCATGCAGAAACGTTCCCAACCTCAAACACACTCAATTAGATTCTTCCGCTTTCTGCTTTTTGCAGGTTTGGACAGAAAAGGGATCGCATGCACATGCGACCCGGGAATTCTGTGATGGTGTTCCGATCTTCAAAGGGAGGATCTTCTTGACCATTCTCGACCTATACCCCCCGGCAACGGAAATGCACCCACACCATGCTCGCTCAGACCTTCCGACCGGATCACATGGCAAATCCACCGTCTCCTGCTCTTCCCGTGGCACCATGGAGTGAAGAGGAAAGATTCGAAAGCCGCGATGCTCCAAATCTCTCGCTTCCTCGACGACTGCAGGCACCATTTTTTTCGGTTTCCACGGGGGGGATGCGGAGGGACGGACGACCAAGGAGGATGGAGTGGTTTCTTTTCCTTGCAAGAACCACCTGTCCCCTGGCGCGCTGCTGGCACACACTGGAACACACACATGGCTCGCGAGAGCGTAGCGTCAGTTATGCAACCACCGATGCAGTAGCACGCAATTTAGACCTTGGCTGAGGGAACGGAAAGGTGAATGAGTCCGCTCAACCGAATGGTTTCAACATAAAGGCGAGAAAGCCGATGCAAGGGCTGGAAGAAATTGTTCTAGCTAAAGCCAAGGACCAACAGCGCAGGACCCACCAGCAGCACTTAGATGCCCAGGTGCGGTCAACAGCAGGTATGTTTGCACAAGCGCCGCGTGAGCGTCTTCGTTGGCTCTCGTCTCATGCTGGCGGAAATAGTTCTGGTGACAAAAGATTCGTAGTTGCTGAAGTTCATGATCGGCGTGGTGGAGGAGTGCTTGATCGCCATGCAATTGCTGTAGTTGGGTGCATGATGGATCGGATCTGGCCGTGAAGCGAGGTTCAAAATGGAGACTTTGAACATGGAGTGGCCAGTGTGTGGCTAGAATTTCATCGGCGTGTTGATGTAGGGACGGAGGGAGTCCGTAGTGCGGTTGAATGAGTGAAAGTAGTGCTGCTTGGCTGGAAGTAGGTGCTGTTCATGTTGGCTTGAAGAAAGTGGTGAAAGTGGTGTGGAAGGTTCAGATCAGCCAGGGTGGACTTAGTGGCCGTCTGTGGTGGGATGTTGGGGCCTTCGCAACAGAATGCGCAGGCGCTCACATGCGCAAGGCAGCTGTTCTTCATGTGGAGGCTGGTGGAAGTGTGGGTGTAGGTGAAAAGGGAATCGCATGGTTCTGAGGTTGTGTGTGGAGCTGTTCCGTGATGCCGCTGGTATGCAGAAGGGTGAAGGCTTCCTGGGCTGATGCCTGGGGCCTCCCTTGTTAGGTTGCCATCCGCTCGGTGGAGTGTGTCGGCAATGCGGCAATGGCATCAAGGTCCTGCATGGCGTTCCCTGCACGATATATCCTCCAACGGATGGGTTGCAAAGACCGATTACACGACGATCGGGTGGACGGCTGGCGTTTTGGAGGGGCTGCTAGAATGTGTGCCCGCGGCAGTGGAAGAAGCAGCGAATACACACTTGAGAAGGGGCTCTAAAAAAGCGAGAATTCTGGGTGTATCTCGGTGCTCATTAGCCCTTTACGTTACTGCATTAGCCAGGTGCATTAGACTCTAGACCTTTATGGCACTTTATGGCCAAACTGGCCAAACACCGCGTTAGACAGCTTTGGCCATACTTAGGCTCACAAAGATTCAGCGGAATGAAGTTGAAAAATTGGTGCAGGTACGTTTTCACGGCGACATGGACGGGTCTTCGTTGGCCCATGCCATCCATGTGCGAGAAAAAAGCCATACCACGCTCAGCCTGCAGGTTGGTTGCACAGGTTGGAGGTGGTTCCTTCAGTTGATCTCTTGCACCTAGTGAAGGCCTTATAATTTGGAGCAGCACCTTGGATAGACAACTGCTCGAAATTCTTTTCAACGACAACAGAAGTTACTTGCATCGACAAACGGGTCTGCCTCACCTGACTGATCTATCTGGCTTGCAATGTTCCACCACTGTCGTTCTCTGATTTGGCCCGTTGAAGGAATCAAAGCTGCCGTGTAAAGAATGCAAAGGATCTTTGGGCGTTGCAGTTGACAGGAAGTGCTGCGACTTTGTGTTGTCTGCCCTAAGAATCCGGGCCCTCAAACACATAGGGTTTTGAGGGCCCCTCCCCCAACAATTCTTTAAGCGGCTTCATGAGCCCCGCAGATCATGTCCCTGCGCGTTGTATCGGCGCGCTCTTGCCTGCCACAGGGCGGAGATTTCCGCGATCCCAGGGAGGAAGACCAGGATCGTGCTGTCCTCAGCTGTGCTGAAGGGCGATGTGTGCCGTCTGCAGAGAAGGGTGGCTGGTCCCGGTGGGATGTCACGCTCCAGCTTCTGGTGAAGTGGCTTGTTCAATCATGAAGGGTTCTTAGGGAAAGAAACGTCGGCAAAAAGCAACTTGTGACCCCAAGTTGGGTCAAGTAAGAAGGCTCTTGGACCTGAGGTTCCGTTCTAAGTAAGAAGGCTCTTGGACGGATCCCCATGAGCGTTCGCCCCGACAAGAACGTGAAGACACGAAGATGCAAACCTGTGTTCATCCTCTGTGTTCATCCTCTGCGCACCACAAAGAACACTAGCCCCTACACAAACCCTAAACTTCCAAGTGCATCCTCAAAGAAGGTATTTGGGCCCTCCAAACCCACCCTAAACACCTTCTCAGAAGGTACTTGGAGGCCTAGGGAAACAAAATCCATCACACCAGTTTCGGATTGCACTCCCCGCCGACCGCCCTCCGCCGTGACTGCTCGGACCCGCCACGTCGACGGGGTTGTGACTGCTGTGACCGCGGTCGTCCGCCGACGAGGGGCGGGCGAAGCGATGACCTCGAGGAGCTCCAAAATGATCGAGTGCATCTTGTCGCCTCGCTGGAGCGCCAACTTCAGCGTGAAGGGCAGAAAGAAGACGGTGGGAAGAGAAGGGGCGCCGGCCACGCGCTGGATGGAGCGATGTTTGTTAATGGAGAGACGTTGTCGGGGCCCCACCGACCGATCTTACGACTCCATATGCCATGCAGTGCATGTCGCAGCGATGTAGCGCCGATTTCAGGCATTTTCAGGCGAAAGCCTTGCCAGTGCACCCTGGAAGCAAAATTGCATGGAAGACCCCGCCAATTTCCAACAAAACCCCGCTAATTTCCGACAAAACCATGACTTGCAGGTTTCGCGGTTTTGTGGTTTCGTTTCGTGGTTTTCGTGGTGGCTTGCGTGACGAGTCACAGTGCTTCTGATCGATCTTCTTGGGTTTCACCAGCCCAAAGACCTCCTCGAAGCGCGCTGCAGCTTGAGACAAGACCAGTAAGTTCAGCAAGCTGATACATGAACATATTATGTTCATACATCTGTCAGTTGACGCGACCCCCTCGAAAAAGCCTAAGCCTTATCCGGAAGCGACAACAGAACATGTTCTTGAGATGGGTGGTTTTGTTGTCTTCCAATCACCACCCAGGCCTGAGAGGCCAGATCATGTATGATGCCAGGAAGATGGTCCAAATTTAGCGGTTGCCTGATCCGCACATTTGGTGATCTAGCTCCAACTGAACAGTGCCTACTATAGCGATGGCCTCGACTAAGATCGATGGCCTCCAACCCAGTGGTTTCTTGCTAGAAGTATGATTACGGACTCCCAGAACCCAATGAGGGACGCACCCCAACTCAACCACGTGGTGCGCCCCGCTGCGGCCAGCGATGCCGATGAAAACACCCCCATCCGAAGCTGCTGACGTGGTCAACATCGACGGTCTCCATGACCAAGAAAAAGAGGGAAAACATTTTTAAACCCTATAGGCCTCCAATCGTACCTTCTGAGGTTCGGTGGGGCTGGCGTGGGTGCCAGGAGGGTCCAGTCATACCTTCTGAGGAGGTACGAGTGGGAAAGGAAACCATTTTTCTCACCTTCCTCCATGACGTTTCCATTTTCGGATGTCGACATCTGATGTCCACTGTGTTTCCGACATCCCCCTCCACTTGCCGACTCGACGACTCGGGGAAGGCCTTGATCCGCGACTGGATCAATGACTCACAGCGCAACTTCTTGCGGAAGGCCTTTGGCAAATCCTTGGAAGGCTGTGGAGTGCCGAAAAGGGTCGGAAGGGTCCGGCAGAACAGGTTCTATGGTTGGAGGGACCGGAAGACTTGGGAAGTGTCGAAGTGGTCGGTTCTGTTTGTTTTGGGAATCTAAACTGGTTGGACTAGATAATATGTTGATATTACTTGGAAGTCCTTCAAAAGTCAATGAAAAACAAAAGGCGGGATTTCTGGCTGGAGGTTCTTTGCAGAAACTGGTCTCTCGAGGAAACATTCTTCCACCAAGCAGGAGGCTGCGCAGGATGATTCCACTAGACTCACTAGACTTTGTAGACCACTAAGATTATACACACTGAAAAAAAAGGACCGGATAACCCCACATGTTAAGCTTGTAAGAACCCGCAACGAGAAGCAGAGACTGAGAAGAAAACAGGACAAACAAATACTGGACGATGAAAGTGAATGAAAGAGACACCGATGTGAAAGAATGAGCAGGGAATGATTGAGAGAATGATTGAGGGAGTGAGAGAGACAGAGTGTGTGGGTGTAGCTTCTTTTGTAGGTCAGCTTTATGTGAGCTTCTTCAGAAGACGTGCAGCACACAACTTCTTTTTGAACAGAGGCAGCGCAAGTGCAAGCTGCACCCCGTGCAGTTCAGAGTACCTGGCGCAGGTGATGCATGATCTAAAAAGATATGAAAGGATGAGTCCATGTGACTGTAAGTAGCACAGTGGTAGACTGTTATCTGTATCCATCCCGCGCTGCGTGGTTGCCAGCGCATGCATCGTAGCATGTAGCCTGATGACAACACAAACTAGAACGCAGTAGACGTTTCGGTGTCATGCCCGCAAGCAAAGAACATGGATGCTTGCACTGCAGTCTGGGTTGACCATGCATCTATGCGGACATGAGTGGAAACGAAGCACCTTCCCAGACGAGTAGGAGAAGCCCTAGCCTCATGACAACACGCCAAAACCGAAAACACTTGGTCAGTAAACGTGGCTTCGTTTCGATCAGGCGCTAACAACACCACGTCTGCACCCGTTGTCACACCGACTTCAAACGCATACGCGGATCGTCTGCCTGGTTGGAGGTGGAAAACGAAATCTATCAGTGGCCTTCTCAGACATGGCACAACCAGCCTGCGCAGCGGTCACTGAAAATGTCGCACTTGCGACCAGAAGCCTGACAGTTCAACAGAAAAAGGCACGACGTCTATATAAATAGATAAATTAAAAAAGATATACAATATCTACCATTAAATTATGCGAAGAAGCAAAGATGCTTCAAGAACAAGCAGCGGTGCCTCGTGACCACAACAGCGTTGTGAGTATGGATGCCTGTCGTGAAAAACAACAGAAAACAGTACGTTATATGCAGAATAAAGTTGAACCATGCGTCAGTGCTGTAGCGTGACTACACAAGTCTTGGAAGTGCTTCAGCTTGACAAGAAAACACACAAAAACCACAGCAGGTTTATTGAAGTAAGTCTGCCGAAAAGCGTCGTGACATGCGTTTTCGCAACGGCAAGAAGTGTTTGCATGAACGGTGAGGGCATGCCCGTTGGTTCCAGCGCATTCTGAATAATTTGTCACACCGACTCACATAGCCAGAGCCCGCGAAAAGAGATGGGGATGGCAGTTCGGGAGAATTGACTTGCACCACAAAACAAGGATTAATTTTTGTTGCACAAAAGGCATGAGGATACACTTGGTCATGCAGAGTGAAAACTTCGATAGAAGTCGATATACTACTACAGTCGACGGGCGCAAACGCTTGACACATCCATGCGTCTCCAGCAAAATTGCAGGTGATTTGTCACGCCGACTCATCACCATGACACAGCAAGACAAATCTGAAAGCTGTGGCCAGAGTACTTCAAAGAAGCTCTGCGTTTCAAGAAGACATGTTGGCGTCTCCTTGCCAAGCGGCGCAGTCACGTTCCTCTTCTGGTAAACCGGTGGTGTGTGATGAGTGAGTGGTGTGTGATGAGTGGTGTGTGATAAGTGGTGGAAGATGAGTGGCGGTGGAGGGACGCAGGACGGACGGAGCGACGGGTGTCAGAGCGAAAAACAAGAACCCCACACAGTGATGTGGGGAATCATCATGCTTAATTATGTGGAAAAGCACCTGGTGTGGCCTTGTGGATAGCATCAGTACGCATAGGCACCACACCTCCAAAGAAAGGCTTCGACCAGTTACGCGTGCACGTAGGGTGTTTGGTGCATCCGCGTGCACCTTTCCAAACACCGTAGAACACCGTAGAACACCTGAAAAACCGAAAAGAACACCTTAGAAGTGGACGAGCATTGTGAATTTGTGCGTGTGTTGATCCATTTTTGTCTTTTTCCATGTCTTAACGATTTGGAAGGCCCGGTCCGCGCGGCGCACTGGCCATGCGCGCGCGCACGGGGTGCGCCTCCAAGAAGTATTCGGTGACCTTGAAACACCTCGCCCCCACGAAGACGTTGCCCACCGGCAGCGGCGAGACCGTGGCGAAGTACGTGGCGAAGAGCCCCGACTGTAAGGTGGCAGACCTGGGCCGTTGCCAGTCGAACCGCGTGGTGTCACGTCGCGCTGCCAGGTCTACACGTCAGACGAACCTCGATCGCCGGTCACTCGGTCGCGGATGGTTAGCATCCGATCGCTCCTATAGTAGTAAGGCCAGGAGCTCGGTTCGGTTCGCGTCCTCTCATCAAATCGATGGTCACGGGATGGAACTTGGGAGTCGAACTGGAACATCATCTCCGACGGAGGTCTCTCTATCCGCAGGATTCCAACCTCCATGTATAGGTTTGACCAAAAAACTTATTGTTTTACTAAGGATCTTACACTACTGTCAGCCAGACCTAAACCCAGACACGACGAACGATGTAATGGGACTGCCCACTCCGGACTGCCGATCGACCCAAAACCACCCCAAGTGACGACTCCGGCCGTCCGGACTGACAGTCCCATGGATCGTTCGTCTCTGGGTCAGTCGGGTGAGTTCCGGAAGTCGAGGGTTAGTGAAGCCTTCGGGTCACGGCCATTTTGTAGCGCACCGAAGCCACACGGACGTGGGACTGCCATAGGTATCCAAGCTGCAGCTTGGGTACCTCTACACCCTTGCCTTCGGTCAGACCATTCAAAGAATGGGAACTTAACGTTACGACGTGGTGGGATTCAGTGTAAACATCCGGGAATGAAAAGACCCTTCAAACAGCTGCTTGGGCCAGGAATCCCATACCCTAGGGCTCCAAGTACCTGCTTAGAAGGTATTTGGACACTCTAAACCCACCCCAAACACCTTCTAAGAAGGTCCTTGGAGCCCTAGGGCTAGGTATACATGTGATTACGTAGTCAACAGGTCGTGTTTTCTTGCGACGAAAACTCTCAGGGTCCCCGAGTTTTCGTGACGAAGGGACGGGTGGTTGAGTTGAATGATTAATGTGTATAATACTAAGAATCCGGGGAAACAACAGATAGGGTTCGATTGCCAAGGAGAGCCCGATCGGATTCTTTGGGCAGCCAGTCGCTCCGGCTGAATTTGAGTCTCAGCTAGGACGTGGAGAATGGAGACTGCTTCGGCAACCCCGGCATGGAACTACTGAATTACCCAGACGCTCCGTGAACGACGCTCGACTGGTCCCTCAAAACCCTAGGGATTGGTTCGACCCCTTCGACCCCTCCAGAGGATTCGGGCCCAGGGTCGCGTCTGGGTAGTCTCTTTTCCCAAACAGTTCACTAGGTCACTAGGGCTTCGAACGACCTTTAACCATCTTAGACCGACCTCCCACTGTTTGGGGTCTGCCTTCGACCATCCTCCGCCGTTCCCGGACCATCCAAGAGAGGTTGAACAGCCTTATAGCCCATCCCATATGTACCACTACAGGGTCCTAGTTCTGGTCTCTCAACCTCTCTTGGATCCTCCCACGTTCGAAACACTCTCCGCGTTCGAAAACACTCCCACGTGCTGCGACCCCCACATGATCACCAGCCGCGTGCTGCGAAAACGCTGCTGCGCCAGGAGCCGCACCACCAGGCAGAGCATGTCGCTCTCAGCACCTGGGGCGGGGGAAACGAGCATGTCGCCACACGAACACGTACGTTTCTTCAGCATCTGTAAGACTTTGGCAAGACTAAAGGAAGTAACAACCATAAGTATCGATCCACAGCAAATGAGCATTTTAGAGCTAACAGTTTGCTAAGAACATGTAAGAACTACCAAACACCCACCTCCATGAGCCTCAACGATCACAAGAAGTCACTTTGGACTCGCACGTTCGGAGTCTCGCGAGCCCAGTCGGTTCTGCTTGTGCCTCATAGATCACCGCCACCCAACAACCGCCTCCGACCCTCCCCACCGACTCCGTCTCGTCCGGTTACCGGTGACGTGCCCGACCTTCGGTCCGTGATCGATCGACGAAGTGACTCACGTCAGAAGATGCGGAAACACCGTGTTGGACCGCGGGCTTACCTCTCATCATTGGAAGAGGTAAACGCAGCAGAAAGAAATCATGGTTGACTTTTCTTCCGCGGAACCAATGGCAACTGTTCGTTCGACTTCACAACGATGACCGTTCTTACTATCATCCACTATCGTTCCAATCGATTTGGAACATCTTGGCAACAAAAGCAAGCCCAGTGAGCATCCTGGCAGCCTTTTCTTCCTCGATCCATGCGCAGTTCTCACGTCTCGAAACAAGGTCTCGATCAATTCCCAAGACGAGTTCCGGGCATCTTTCAAGGGAATTCCTTCAATCAATGAACACGTCGTTCGCCGTTCACTTCCCGTCTGACGAAGTGCTTCTGAACCCGATCGGGGAACTGACCATGGACTTCCGTGCCAGGACACGGCACATGCCAGGTCTGGATCATCCCTTACAAACATGCAGAAAGGCAAACAGTACAGAAAAGCTTGTGTGGCCACCCACTCTCATATGGGCTTGAGCCCTGCAAATGTTGCTAATGACACTGGACCCCAGCGCATGCCTTGCACATTCTAGGTAGCTCTGAACCAGGCCATTGTGCCTGTCCATAACCACCTCTGCGAATAGATTGCCAGCGCACCATGTCGTCGTAGACACTTGTACCGCGGTTTTCAACATATGTGATACACACGTGGAACAACCCTCCTCAACTAAATGTATTTCTTGAGTAATGGCACAAAAACCCTACTTAATGGAATGGCACAAACGCTGGGATTTTGTGCTGTCTGCAGTCTCAAGGTTGTCCTCAAACTCAAACCCAGGTCCTTGGCCTTCATGTATTGTGGGACTCCGGAAAACAAGGTGTTTCTTTGTGGGGTAATTCTTGATCTGCACATCCCATGATGCTATGTTCCAGTTATCAGGGCTGGCGCAATCTATCAAGCGTTCAACGAGCAAGGCGAACTAAGTAGTGTCAAGCAACTAGTGTCAGCGAGGAAAAGTATTCTGCAAAAGCTGTCCTGTGCCTAGTAAGGCCGGATCTGATGGCTCTTCAACTTCAAGTGCAAGCTGGCATGTATACTTACTACATCCAATGACAGCAAACCCCCACATGGGACCAACGCCAAACACCTTGTAGCGTTGCTGAAGGACTATGTGTTGGGTCTATCCCATTACCAGTCACAGTAGATTGTTCCGCTTTGGTTCAGTTGCAGGCCGACATCTCTAAACTTCTAATGATAATGATAATATCCCAGACACTCCATGGGACTGCCATATATGCCTACATTGGGGTGGTTTTGGGGGTCAATGGGGCGGCATATATGGCAGTCCCATGGAGTGTCTGGAATATGATATGAGACTGAAAAACAAACACTGACACTGTTACATACTGTTACAGCGGTTATAAATAGTGGTAATCAGCACAGTGAGTCATAATAGTGGTACTGTTTACCGACTGTTACAGGTAGTAGGACAATCAAGTCTCTCCACATCTCTCATACGCGAGCTGTAGTGTAGCTCCCAAAACGGGCGCTCAGCACTACTTGAGCCCAATCGAAAGCAGCTGAAGCCCCAAAATGGAGCAGAGCCTTTCGGATGCCGTAGAAGAACTACCCTCCCTCAAACGTTTTCATGAAACAAGACAATTTTTCCCGCAGTAAGAGGGGGTGATCCACTTTCATGTTCGTTGGAGCCTGGAGTTTCCAGTCTCCCATCACATTCATTCCACAATCAACCCAAACAACTGTTTAACTTTGCAGCAGGTCGGCTATCTCCTTTTCTCGTCTTCTTCAGGTCGATGCGCGCGGTCTTTCGACCAAGGCTCCGGTCGAAAACGACCGAGACGCTGCGGCGCCGAAGGCGATGTCCCAGAGGAAGAAGTCAGAAGAAACACAGGCCAGTTCTGGATCTTCTCTTCCAAACATGGGAGAAAGGCAAACAGTACACTCTCATATCGAGAAATCCTGGAGTACTTTCATTCAAGTGACGGCAACATCTTTGGGCCATGCGAAGTACCACCGACGCTATCACTGCGATTGATGCGATGCGGCAGGCGGCCGCACCGGAGGCTTGGCAGTGTTGGAATCAACACACCTGCGCTCCATAAGACCGTCTGTTCTTTCGTTTGGGCTTAGCTTGAGCCACAAGTGGGGCATCAGTCGATTTTTCAGGACCCATGGCAAGCAGCATGGAGGCGATGTCTATCAGGTTGGAGTCCCAAACGTGTATGCGAAGCAGTTTTGTAAGTGTACCAAGTCCAATGAGCGGCCCTTTTCGCCTTTCCTGCTAGTGTTGAAGCTGGTAAGACTCCCGCATGAGACCACTCATCAGATTCAAGCCTACGTACGTTAACCGGCATACGCAGTGCCACATGAGACCACCTTCCGCGATGCTTCACAGGGGTCAGGTTGAGGGGGCGTTGAGTTCGCGCGGCGGTACGTCAGGGGTCCCAGAAAATGCCAGGCTGCCAAACACGAAGAGGAAGCTGCGTGGATCGATGCAAATGCCATGTCTTTCCTGCATCAATCCACGTAAGAATCGGCAGCCAAAGAACGCCAGGTTCCTTCCAAGCACTCACATGTGCCACGTGCCATGTGTGACATGTGTTGGCATATCAGCTGTTGGCAGGAAGGACTAAGCTGTGACAAACACACTGGTGTCAACACCTGCGCAGCTGCTCAATTTCTGACGGACGTGTATAGGCTGCCAGTTCACGAATCTTGGTGGTAGAGAATGTGCTACTGCCCAACTTTGCTTGGTCTTAACTGGTGCCATCTGAGCTTTGACCAGAAACTCGGAGCAATTGGCATTCGCCTTCGACCAAGGCGATCAAAGTAAGTAGTGTCAAGCCACTGTCAGCGAGGAATTGCAACCTGCAAAGCTGTCCTGTGCCTAGTAAGGCCGGATCTGATGGCTCTTCAACTTCAAGTGCAAGCTGGCATGCATACTTACTACATCCAATGACAGCACAAAGCCAAACACCTTGGGGCCTTACGGCATTGCCGAAGGACTATGTCAATGTGTCTGAACCCGATCAGCAAACAAATACTGTCACTGCAACTCTCTCTCCACGTCTCTCAGCAAGTTTCTCAGTGCTCTTTGAATTTGGTGCAAGTATTAGGTCGTCGAATGTGTCTCGAAGCAGGGAACTAACGCAATGCTGTCCACACTGGCCAAACACACTTCGCTTGCTCATGGAGATCCTGGAATGGCAAACCAAGTGAAAGTAGTCAAGCTCGCGGACCTTGCACATCGTCCCACAAAACTCATTGGCTGTTGACATCCAAGCAAAATGATTCTCAGGATGGTCTTCCGTGCCAGGACACTGCACAGGCCAGGTCTGGATCATCCCTTACAAACATGCAGAAAGGCAAACAGTACAGAAAAGCTTGTGTGGCCACCCACTCTCATATCGGCTTGAGCCCTGCAAATGCTGCTAGTGACACTGGACCCCAGCGCATGCCTTGCACATTCTAGGTAGCTCTGCACATTCTAGGTAGCTCTGAACCAGGCAATTGTGCCTGTCCATAACCACCTCTGCGAATAGATTGCCAGAACACCGTGTCGTCGTAGAACAACCCTCAACTAAATGTATTTCTTGAGTAATGGCACAAAAACCCTACTGTGCTGTCTGCAGTCTCAAGGCTGTCCTCAAACTCAAAGCAGGCCAATGATCTTGGCCTTTCATGTATTTTGGGAGTCCGGAAAAAACACATGTTTTCCCTGTGGGGTAATTCTTGAACCGCGCATCCCATGATGCTATCATGATGCTATCTTGCAGCTATCAGGGCTGGTGCCATCTATCAAGCGTTCAACAACCAAAGCGATCTAAGTAGTGTCAAGCCACTGTCAGCAAGGAAAAGCATCCTGTGAAAGCTATCCTGCGCCTACGGGTGTGGGCTACAAACTGAGCAACGTAGACATATGTCTTCACAATTCTGTCTCTTGAACGGATACACTCCCTACACGTCCCAGACACTCCATGTATGCCATATACTTATATGCCTACATATGTCTGCATTGGGGTGGTTTTGGGGGTCAATGTAGGCATATATGGCATACATGGAGTAAAACCATGAAGAACTGGCCGTGAAGAGAACTGCTTCGAAGCTTCCAAGCCTTTGGTGGAACCTTCGTAAACCAAAATTTGACGTCAGGACACTTAGTTGGCATCCTGGCGCTAAGCTCGAGCAGCCCGAGACAACTCTAACAGAATCTTAAGTCGCAAGGTCTTTGGGGGCATTGTTTGATACATTTCATCCCCAGCGATACGCGCAGTGTTTCGCATGTCCCAAGGGCTTTTTTGATCACCACGTCCACTGCCACAGGGTGCTAGCAGCGCACAGTACCACTCTTGATTCCAAGAAAAAGACGCCTGAATGCCTGCTTTCACAGAGAACGCCTCACTCCTGGGGAAGAAGTTTTGTATCAAGAGTCTGCATCTAGAAGTCCTCAAAGGGATCTGGGCCTTCCAAGGTCACTGGCATCGCCATGACCCGTCGTGGCCGACACATGTTCTCCTCCTCACTGGCTGAGGCGATGGTGAAGCCTAAGCGCTGGCAACCAGGGCCAGGGCCCGCCTCCTGGTGCAAGCGAGCTGCGCCATCCGACCGGCCGTAGCTATATGTAGAGGAC